TAAATATTTTACATACAAATAAAAACCAATGTGTTATCTCATTTGATCTTGATATTTTAGACTGACCGGAGGCCGTATTTATACAGTTGCTACTGCTGCTGCTGCTCGTCTGCCGCCTACACTGGACGCTCATTCGTTGCCCCTGCTTGCTGGTATCGCTGCCGCCGCTGTTTCCCCCTGTGTGTTGCCAGAAACGAACTGAGCTTGTGGACACGCGTTCTGGTAGTGTTCTGGTTTGTGACGTATATGGTATAGAGAACACGCCGATCCCATGTGGCGTAATAAACATCTGTTGCACGTGGGTGCTCTGAAACCCGGTGATTGTGACCTGCCTCTTCCACTGTACGATTGGTCTCGGTTTGGTATCATACTGGTCCCCCTGCTATTCCTATTATATTCTCTACTTACGCTTCGACGATCCCTGTCTCGATTCTGGTGTTCGAACTCTATCCCTATCTCCAAAATTTGATTGCTGCTCTCCCTTAAATGCTGCTGCCAAGTTTGCTGCATGGGCTGCTGCTCCCCCCGGCTCAAACATTTCGTATGCATCTAGTAGGATAACTATATTTGCGAATGGAAAAGCTCCGTTAATAAACGTTCGTCATGTCGCCTAAATTCCTTGAGCGCTTTGACTAACGGCGCTGCGTCTCTGTTATACATATAAGTCAGTGTTGTCCGTAAATTTGTGTTCTTTGTGACTGCGTGTAACATTGCCTGTGCTGCAAAATTTCCTTCTCGCGCCGCGTCTTGTCTTAGATTTTCGTCTATTGCTGCCCATGGTACTACTTGTGTGGTTGTGCTGTCTATCTCCCTGGGTGTATCATACGGTGCTCGTCGTTGATGGAAATCTCTGTCCCTGTATCCCCACTGATTCACTGGATGTCTCAGCTTCTGTTGCCCTTTATGATCCCCATAACGTGGTAAATATAACCCATTGATGTTATACATCCTACTCTTAGGGAACCACAAGTTCTCTCTATTCAGGAAAATGTATAAGCGTCTGGTTTTTGTGGTCGGTCTCCAACGTCCTGCTGCGCTGAAGATGAAGTCATCCATATACATTACTTCCTTGCGTGTTGAATCTAATACATTATCTCTATCCTGAATGATCCACTCATTTCCGCTCCATTTCCAAGGGCCTCCCTGTGGCTTGAGTGTAACCTGTGACTCTCTCGCTTCCTCTAAAAACACATTTATTATTTCCACATCCGGTGCTGAGTCACTCAACCTGAATAGTTTGTCTTTTGCTCATTCCGTCTGGTCCAATTCCCGCTCTCTATTCAAACGCTCCGCTTTGCTACCCGTGGTACGGCTTAGTGCAAATCTGGAAACACTAAAAATTCGGTGAGCGCCCTTTTTCATTCACTGGCGAACGGCTCCTGCTCTGACTCATGTGCCTTGGTAACTGACTGCGGTGGCGACTGCGACTCCAAGTTGTGTCCGTAGATCACCCGAATTTTCTTGCTGTCTCATGAGCTCCTTATCCTTCGTCTCGCTTCTCGCTCCTCACGTACGCCGTCTCCTCACTCTGTCCTCGTTCTTCTTATCCATTGCTGCCACATATTTAACCGCTTCACGTTTCTGTAGGTCGATTAACGGTTTTTCTGCTTGTAGGCACGCTCTCAGCGTGTCTACCGCCTCCTCCTCATTCGCATAAAATTCCACTCCATCTCCGCCTATCAAAATCTGGTTGGCTGGTCGGCCCTTTAAAGCCCCACTTATCCACAAAAGCACTACTACCCTTTGGTCTGCTGATGGATGTTTCTGTGTAGTTTTTTCTGCGTTTGATCCATGAGTTTCTTATTTGCTTCATACGCCTGTAAAGATGATAAACCTGTCATTGCTGTATACAACTTGCTGGATTTCATCGGGGCCGCCTGTGAAGCCCGAGTGCCACGTCCTTGAGGGTTCAATTCCGATTCCATAATATATATAATTCTTCCCACGGCGAATTCTGCTAACTCCGTCATCATGACTGCTCGATGCCACGCGAGTCTCTCTGATACATCACTCAACTCCATTGCTTTCGCATGCAGGTCTACCGTATATCCAGGGCCAAAAAGGTAGCTAGCCGCCCCGAAATGCTCTATTAATACTCGTTCGACATCTTGGATACTTGGTTTGTAAGATTCGGTCTATCAAGGCGATATTAACGCCTTAGAGTAATTAAACGCCGAGGTTAAGTCTAAGTATCGTGAAATTCGAAGTAAATAAACGAAATGAGTCTTTTGGTAAAGTTAGGTATGCATCGTGAAAACAGCAATACTCTGAGGGATTGTGAGGCTGAGACATTGCCTATATAAAATCCTCTCAGTACTGTTTTCGCCGAAGGGATTTTATTTAGTGTTTCGCTGTCGCTCTATTAGAAACTATGGCATGTTTCGTTGGGGCGAATCCGAGAGACTCGTAAAATCCTATCTTTAGAAAAAAAGAAAAGAAAAAAGAAAAATACTCTTGATGTCCATAGTTATTGCATTAATCAATAACTTGCCACTTATGAAGAATTATTGACTTAGCCTTCATCAGACTGGCACATCTGGTTGGCTGAACGGAGGATAAACTAAGCAACGCTAATAGTCCTTAGAAACCTACGTTCGGTTGAGCCACCTCGCTACCGAAATATTCAGATATAAATAGATTTGGAAAGTAAATATAGTTCTATTAATAGAACTAGACCAAATCTTATGTTTGGTATTTTACTGGGGTCTTTTAATGGCCTTGTCCAAATATCTTATATGTAAAATGGAAAAGGTATTAATTAATAAAACCGTTAAAAACCGTTTAGGAAACTTAAATTC